TCTAGAACATTACTGATGTTGACCAGACGCTGGCACCCAGAGTCCGATCATTTCTCTGTTCAGTGTCCGGTCCGTGGTCAACAGCCTGTCCACGCTGCTATAGATACAGCTAGCGTCGCGTCCGGTGAGCACCGGTGTCCAGCGTCCGGTCGCACTCTGACAGCTACTGCCGATCAAATGAAATGACCGGACACTCCAAGCTACGTCTGGTCACAACCAAACCAGCGTCCGATCAGTCATTTGACCCTCCATTCACTTCCAATTCGCTATACTCTGTGAATGAAGTTGACTTCTATCGATCTTAGGGCTATTCCTGAGCTACCTAGTGCTAAGTTTGACAAGTGTGCACCACACCTAATCTATTAGACTCACCTAGGTCAAGCTACTTGTCTATACCCCCCTTAATAGTACGACCAAAGGAAAAACAAAGTCCTAAACTACTTTAAGTGTCTCTCCAACAACAAACGACACTTAGAACTAGTCCATTCTTAACCTTGTCGTACATCTTTTGAAAACCGAAACGATTTCCATCGATAGGGGCATGACAACCATGATTGTCCAATCAATTTCCATTACCATGACCATTCTCAAATTGCCTCTACAAAACACACGTTAGTCATAGTAATCTCGTGTCATCATTAATCACCGAAACCCAATTAGGGACCTAGATGCTTTCAACAATCACCAAATCTGCTCAACGATCCTTCAATCATTGGGCTGTCTAGGTGTCGGCAAACACCAAGATTAACAAGCTCACAACCAGCCCAAATCACCCAACTAGTGCCACACGATGATGCAACTCAATGCAATGCACTAGAGGCTCTCCAGTCTCACTCAAGATGATGAAATCAAGTGAACAAGTGAGTGAAGTGTGTTGCTCAGCTTGCAAAGGGTGTGCACAAGTGTTAGAGGTGCCAAGATAGTGGCCAAGGCACCCTCTATTTATAGCCACACAATTAAATAGAGCCGTTATACCCCTTGGAGCTGTCTGCGCGGGGGCACCGGACACGGCGGGGGCACACCGCCCGTGGGGTGGCGGTGCCCCTACGGTCACTTCCTAATGGCTAGAAAACTATCCGTTGGTCACCGGACATGGCATGGCGGTGGCACCGCCCTAGGGGTGGCGGTGACCATCCCAGCCAAGTCCCCGAAACCAGCCCTCTTTGGAAAAATAGGGCAGTACACCGCCATCACCCTGGCGGTGACCTCCCTCGCTTGCGCCCGTCTCTGGAGGAAAACAACAGTGGCACCGGACACCCAATGGCGGTGACCAGGCAGTGCATCGCTGCACTCGAGGTGGTTTACACCGCGCATGTCCGATGACCACCCCAAACCGGCCGCTCTCGGTCCTTCTCTACTGAGCCCAGGTGGGCACCGCCCTAGGGGTGGCGGTGCCACCGGACATGGTGGCAGTGCGACCCAGGCACCTCCACTAGCTCACCGAGTTGCAAACTTTTGCGTGATTCGATCCACATCAACTCGAGCTACTCCCCGCAAGCAATGCTAACTCTCAAAGTGTTTTCTCAAAACATGTTAGAGCCAAGTTAGCATTTCTCAAAACATTTTCGATAAATATTTTTGCTTGCTCACCGATGTGCACTAAGCCTAAATGCAATGCATGAAGTCCAACACCTAGTGGCACTAGATGACCAAAATGTCTAGTTAAGAACCCCTCTTAATAGTACGACCATCTACCCTAAATGTGATCACACTCTCTATAGTGTCTTGATCACCGAAACAAAATCCTTATTTATACATTTGCCTTGATCTCCATAGGGTTTTGTTTTTCTCTTTCTTCTTTTCCAAGTTGAGCACTTGATCATCATCACATTTGGCCATCTCTTCATTTCATGTGACCAACACCTTCTCTTGAGTGCTACCATGCTCCACACTTGGATTGCACCAACCTAGCTCATATCACATCTCATGACAAAGGTTAGTGCATAGGTTTCATCAATTATCCAAAACCAAACTATGGCTTTCAGCGTTGCATTTACCTGGCCCTATGGACAACTAGAAGCAGACAAGATCAACCCAAACAAAGTGTTGGACCGCTTGTCATTCAGCTAACTTCATACTTTTGGGGCCAAATATGTATCAAACATTAAAGTTTTAATGGGCTACATTGTGTTGAACTTCCATGGGCTGAGGAGGGGGCGTCCAGCACCCTCTTTATTGATCCACCATTGCAAATAATCACTAGGATGTGCACATGGTGACCAAAAATATTGAACATTTGACTTCATATTCGTTCCAATCATAGAGGACAATATATATATACATCCATGAAAATAAGATGTAACTAAATGTGCATCTACATCCAGACATCTTTGTGGGACATAGTCCCCGAGTACCTCGCAGGGAAAGGCGGAGACCTAGTTTGACTAGGACTCTCCGTATGTAATCCTAGTAGCATTGCTACCTCAAAATCCTACTAGCAAGGACTCCGACTAGGAGACTTGCCTCCTGGACTATATAAAGGAGGGCAAGGCTCCCTGGATCGGCAAATTGTACATCTCATACACAACAATCTGATGCAAAAGGCACCACGCTTGACTGGACTAGGGTATTACGCTATTCTGGCGGCCTGAACCAGTATAAATCGTTGTCTCTTGCGTTTACCACCGAGTTCTGCATACACCGAAGCCCACCAAACTCTGTCCCGGGTAACCCTGTGATAGGTTGTTGGTCGTCAAACATCGACAATCTTTTCTCTAGCCAATGCTTGATAATTAGCTCAGGGCAAGCTAAGAGAGAGCTCAGGGCATCGGCCGGTCCTACTTTGCTACTAATTGCCACTTAGCTGCTACTAGGTTTTCACTATGACTTATAGCTATTTCATTCTACGATGACAAGAGATGTATGTGGTGACAATTGTAATCCTAATTTCACCCACATCTTTCTATAGATATAACCAAATTAGGTTAACACAATCTAAGAATAACATGCATGCTATACTACTAGTTGTCACTTTAGTTAGAATCTTTTACCGTAATACATTCCACAATGCCTCATGTCTTGGCACCAACCTTTGTAAGCTAAGTAGTAATAATCTTGATGTATGACAGATGTGGACAACCTATGCACAACGCGTGAATGGTTAACCAAAAATACAAACTTTCCATGGGCATATTTGTTCCAATTCTATAAAGGACAAGGTACATATTGAGATACGCACTCGGGTACAACCAAGAAAAGAGAATGCAATTCAAATTTCATTCAATTCATACCTAGATATTTTTCTTCGGTTACTGTCAGATTAGCTTAGCACAAGCTAAGAATGAGCTCATGATATGCTAACTACCCATTTGCCACTTCACTTCTGTTTCCATTCGACTTTTCATAGCGGCTAATTACCGCGTGGTTTCATTAGCCACCTCGCACTACGTGTGAGCGTTTATGCTACAGTCTAGATGTTTCGGTCTTTCCAAGCTGAACAACTGTCTAGACTTATACTTCATCTGTACATAGATATTTTTCTTTGGTTTCTGCCAAATCAACTAAAGACAAGCTAAGAAGGAGCTCGTGATATGCTACTTATCTGTCGTTGCCACTTTACTTCCATTTCTACTAAGCTTTTCATATATACACTGGTAGAGAGAAGACTTTCAGTTCAGCATATTAGTCTCGGCTAGAATTGGACCCGGGACTAATATGATTATTAGTCCCGGGTCCAAGTTTCTTGCATGTCAGAGGACCTTTAGTCTCGGTTGGTAACATAGACCCAGAATAAAGGGCTTTTACCCTTTAGTCCCGGTTCATAACACCAATCCGGACTAAAAGTAGACCCTTTAGTCCCGGTTGGTGTTATCAACCCGGATTAAAGGTCATTTTAGTCTCGGTTGGTGTTACCAATCCTGACTAGAAGTCCTCCGACGGGTTAGTTCAAAAGGAAAGCATCAAATCCAAAGTCACATGTACTATGGAGGTAGGGTGGAAATGTAAACACAAGGCAATGAATGAGGTCTTGGGTTCGAATCCCTCGCGAGGCACAGAGCGAGGTCGGATGCATTATTTTTTTATCCTCGAAGGGCCTTTAGTTTAGGTTACAGGCAACCAGGACTAAAAAGTCATGCCCTTTAGCCACTTCATTTCCGTTTCTACTGGTCTTTTCATAGCAGTTAATAATCGTGTGTTTTCATTAGCCGCTTCACATTACGTGAACGTTTATGCTGGAGTCCAAATGCCGTTTTTCTTTCCGATTCGTAGAGGACAATATATATCCTGTGGTACGCGTCCCCGCTTACATACAACCAATAAAGAGAACATACTCCAAATTCCGTTCACCCCGCACACTACCAATCAGCTCAGCACAAGGTAAGAAAGCGCGTTTGGTTGTACCTGGGCTAAGATTCAAACTTGAATTCTACGGCAGCTAGCTAACAATCGACTGAATTTGTTATCTGGATCGCGCCAACGTAAACGCGCACATATATTGGAGTCCAAATGCCGTTTCTCTGAGCTGGTCAGTGATCTTGAGTTCCTTCTTGACATACAATACAACAATGTGGACAACCCCAACAAGATGTGCATTTTTTTTAATCAACACGCTGTGCAAATGGTTGGTTAGAACGATGATTTTGTCCAAAATTTCCCAATCTATGTAAAAGCGGGAACTGGCTAATAAAAAAGAACGTGATTCAAATTTGAAGCGAAAAGCCTAGGGTTTTTACTCCTGCTGGGCACGAGCTATATATGCGCGTGCTCAAGCTGTGCTACTGGCTGCCACTTGTGCACAAGCTGCCAGCGGCTTTTCGCCGCGTCCCAGCCTTCACTTCCTGGAGACTGGACGCCCGTTGCGCTCCAGCTCAGCAGCCCAGCCGCGAGCGCGCGCCGTCTTTCCCATCCAACCCCACCCCCTCTTCCTTCTCACGCATCTCCCGAGCCACCCAACCGCGCCGCCCGGGCCCCACCCTCTCGTTGGCGAAGCGCAGGCGGAGGCGTCGCACGTCGGTGGCCGGTTAACGGTGGTGGTGGAGCGGACAGAGGAGGGCCCGACGATGCTCCGGAGAGCGCCGTCGGTCGGCGCAACCGGGTACCGGTGGTGGGCCGGCGGGGAGGCCGGCGCGTGCACCGAGAGCCTCGGCTCCGAGAGCGGCGACGGCGGCTGCGACGCCGCCGAGATCGACCAGTTCTTCCTGCCTGTTTCTCCGGTTCCGGCTGGTGGCCCGGACGACGCCGACGCCGACGCCGATGCCGCACTGAGTGGGGTGGACGAGGCGCGAGCAGAGCCCTGTCTTCCGGCGCCGGAGAAGAGGCGGCGCGGGGGCTTCCCCCCGGCGATGCCGCGCGCGTCGGGGGCGCTGTTCCTGCGAGCGGAGCGCCGCGGGGGGCGGCTCATCCTGACCGAGGTGCGCGCCGACGAGCATGAGCGCCGCGTCGTGTTCCGCGCCGAGCGCGACGGCGGACGCCTCCGCCTGCGCTTCGCCAACGATGACGACGCCGCCGCCGCCCCGGAACGCGGCGGCGAGCCCGAGGCGGGTGGTGGTGGTAGCGCCGCCGGCGGCGCCGGCGCCAGTGGGGTGGTTGATGCGGTTGCTGTACAGCACGGCGGCGGAGGAGCGGGAGAGCTCTGCCAGCTGGCCGCCGTCCGGAGAGGCGGCGTGGAGGTTGGCGCGGTCATGATGGGGACAATCTGATCTGACGGCCGGAGGAGGGCCGGTGAGGATGAGACCGCCGGCACAGCAGATCGTTGTCCTCTTGGTCGACGATCTTGCAACTTGCAAGCCCGTAGTCGTAGCTGCATTGCCGTTCTGTTGCTGCCTGCCATGCTCGTCATTGGGACCTGAGAGAGAGAGAGAGAGAGAGGCATGGAGACGACAGAGTTTTCGTGTGGAAAAAAAATCCTTGCATTGTGTTTGTTTCAGTTGTGTTCGTCAGCCAGAGGCATTTCTCTGCTTTCGGATTGTTCGTTTTATTTATTTTTCGTTTTCTTTGATCTCTGCATGGAGCATGGTGTTCAAAATTGTAATTGGAGAGAGATGATGATAATGTTATGGATAGGCGTAATCAGGGATTAAGCCGTGCGTGTGCCTTAATTGTTGCCTCTTGATTGATGAAATGCTGCATGCATGCCTTTTATCTTTGCTAGCTAGAGATGACAGGACAGGATTGATATATTATACTCTCCCCCGGTAATAATTAATAACCCTACGAAGATTTATTTTTCAACACTACTTCAGCAGCAGTATTTTTTAACGAAAAAATAGTATTTTTTTCTCACAACAAATCGAACGACAACCAAATTTCAGCTAAACGAATAGGGCACGCAGTGCTAGATACTTTGCAGCGCGTAGGCTGTAGCTGCAGCTGGTGCATGCTGCACCGCAGCCAATCAGTCTCCACTACGCGGCGGCGGCGGCAGCACAAGCCCTGCAAGTAGCACGTCCTAGCCTCAGTCATACGCCTAGGATGATGTTTTATACTATAACTGTACTGCCTTCGTCCCAAATTATAAATTATTCTAATTTTTTTGAAAGCCAAATATTATAGAGATAATAACAAAAACTTATGACATCAAATCAAATAGTTATACTAGGAAAATATAATCAATGAAGAATCTAATAAAACTTATTTGGTATCATAAATGTTATTATTTTATTATATAAATTTGGTAAAAGTTAGCGATGCTTTGATTTTCCAATAAAGCTAGAATCACTTATAATTTGAGACAGAGGAAGTACGAGACAACTTGAATAACATTTTTTTTGCATGGAATATTATGAAAGGTCTAAATGCCTTACATTTCTTTCGATCCGTGTTCACAATTTTTTTTAATCTCTATATATGCATGGGCGGTCAGATATAACTAAAGCCACCAACGTTAAATTAGCTGCCATGGATCCGAACCTTGGATAGGAATGATACACACCTCCTGCGTAATAAAAGCGGCTGAAACGAAGCAGCAACGACCCAAACAAAAGGCGAGCCAGCAGAATGTGTGGCCACATGTTATCTTGCATACATACTCCCTCCGTATATGTTTTAGAGGTCGTTCTGGGCGTTCGTTCGAGTTGCAAAATACAAGTCGTTCGTCCCCGCGCTGGCCAAAGGAGACGGCTTTGCCCCTGACTCATCGGTTTCCAAATCCGTTTCGAGTTAATGCACGCTGCGACCCACGGTTTCCAAATCCGTTTTGACCCTCGTTAGCGCTGCGGCCCTCGGCATCTCGCTCGCTCGCCTCGCCGCTGCGCCCGCTCGCCTCGCCGCCGCGCCTGCTCGGACATGGAGATGGAGCTCGCGTCGGAGTCCTCAGAGATGGAGCTGGTGCCGGTCTCGGACATGGAGCTCGCGCTGGTCTCGGACATGGAGCCGGAGTCATAGATGACGCCGGAGTTGCAGGAGGTATGCGCTCGCTGTCATCTCGTCCATGAGGACCGCCAAGCATGGACTCGTGCGCACTCACGGAGATGGCCATGCCCTCGCTGCGGTCTCGTCCACGCGGAATATAGACTCAGCGCCATGATTCACGGCCTCGACGAATTCGACTGCGAGCTTTTCATTCCCGATCTCGACAATGTCGTGATGGATGGCAACACTCTCATGATACCTCCACAAGTGCTCAAGATGCTCGACGAGAAGCGCGAGCGTGAGCTCGCTGCGGTGAAGGAACAAGCCTAAGCATCGGTAAGATAGTTCTTAATAATTGTTACAAGGATGTCTATAGTAATCAAGGATAACATCATTCTAATTGTTTGATGCAGCAAGTGTAGCCTAACATTTATTCAAAATCCAAACGAGTGAAGTTTAACTTACCACTGATGTTTTGAATGAAATCAAAATCAACCGCGCCAAACTCGTCAAGTGGCAAGTTCAAATCGAAATCTATCAACAAAAATAAAACGGATTACGACTAATGCTGCATAGTAGTAAGAAAAACACTAGCAGTACAAGTTGAAGTTCAAACTGACTGAACAAAAAAATGAGACAGGCAAGTGCTACTTTACCGTGATCTTCATCCCTTGGTGGTACAACATTGAGATCTATCCCTGCCATTTTAATTTGGTTGAGGTGCACTGTTGAGACCTGTTCCTACGGTATTTATAGGCATGCAAAACGATGGTGAAAAAATGGAGCGCGCCCTCTCCTGCTCGGAACGCTCCCTCCATCCGCGGCAGCAAGCACAGCGCGAAACGGAAAAAGCTACCCGCGGCAGCCAGCAACGCGTGAAACGGAAGAAAAAAGCAACAGCGCCATGCAAAAAAGGCAGCGAAGCAAAAAAATCGCGGCAGCCAGCACAGCGCGAAAGGGAAAAGCTACCCGCACCCTCCATCCGTGGCATCCAGGAACGCGCGAAACGGAAAAAAGCTGCAGCGCCATGCAAAACCATGCAAAAAAGGCAACGAAGCAAAACAACATGCAACTCAGGGAATCGAACTCAGGACCGCGGCATTAACATAGACTACACTAACCAATCTATCGGAGAGAGATTTATGTTAGGATCCTACTCAACACCCTATTTAATAAGGGCAAACATGGAAGATTAGACCCAAATTAAACACACCTTGGTATGCGTAAACTTGTCCAAAACGACCTCTAAAAGATATACGGAGGGAGTATATATACCACACGCATCGTCTCTAGTCAAAACTGCGAAGGATCGAGTCCTTATCATATACGAGTACTTTGCAGCATCCATCATTGAGCTGGATATATAAATGTATATTTATCCTTTTTTCCCAAAAGAAGAAGGAGAAGAACAAATAAAGTTTGTTTCATCATAAAATCGTGTTGAGGAAATTATGTACGGTAATGCTCCAATTAGGACATCTGAAACGGACGGACGCTTCACTCCGCTCGCTCCCACACTCAGTCCCTCGCTTCCTCCTCACTTCCGCGCTCGTGCCCCGCGCCTACCCCGACGCGTGGACATGGCTGCCTCCATGGCCGGCGGCGGCGCGCTCCCCCACCCCGGCGTCCTCACCCACCGGGAGCTCCCAACGTCCACAGATCCGGTGGCCCTGTCCTCCACCCCGGTGAGATCCATGGAGGTGGCGCGACGATGTTGCAGGGGAGTGGGCAGCTCTGCCCCACCTCGCGTGCGGCGCCCTCCCCTCCCCCGACGGCGCCCTCTCACACCCTGGCGACCGAGTTCCCCCCCCCCCACCTCGACAGCCGAAATCGACCGGCCAACCTTCCCCTTCCATATGTTTCATGTGTATGTTTCAAGTGTTTCAGGCATTTCAGATGTATGTTGCATTTATTTCATATGGATGTTGCAAAAGTAGATCAAGGGATGTTGCATATGTTGCAATTGTTTCAGAGGCACGTTGCAAGCGTATGTTTTGAGTGTTTTAGAGGTATGTTTCATCTGTGTTTTCCAGACACATGTTGCAAGTGTGTTTACCTGGATGTTGCATATGTTTCACACATACGTTGCACGTGTTTTATTTGGATGTTTGCGTATGGTTGCAATGGTTTCAAGTGTTTTTAAGGTGTGTTTTTTCAAGTGTTTTAGAAGCATGTTTTAAGTGATTCAACTGCCTTCAGACGTATGTTGCAACTGTTGTATTTTGATGTTTTAAAAGTAGGTCGGGTGTTGCATCTCTCCTCCTCACCTTCTGCTACATCGTCTCCCCCAGCGCCGGCAGGGCATCCATACGACGCTGCGGCTGGGTCCTTCCGAATCGGAGGCGCCGCGTGCCCTTCCCCTCTTGTTCCTCGGGCGGGGTGGGCCTCGCGTGGACCGCAAAAATAGATTGTAGTGCGCGGGCGTCCGAGCGCTAGCACTTTCGAAGTATATATTTATGGGCTTGTTTGTTTGTTGCCCTGAGAAACTTGCCTGGCAGGAAATCAAGATTCAACGTCTGAGATTATTGTTGGCTGGTCCAAACAACTTTCTCAGGGTCCAAACCAAACAGGCCCATAACCCCGGAACTGGAACTCCTGGTTGGAATTGTTATTGTCTACCTCTTCCATCCCAAAATATTTGACGTTGGATTTGGACACAAAAATTAAGGAGAGGTGAAAAGGTGTGGTGCACACATGCGAGGAGAGAGGTAGGGAAAAATAGAGAAAAAGATATATTGAAAAAAAAGAAAGAGGAGTATTTGGGAAAGGGAAAGGTGCATTGAAAACTAAATGAGAATTTCAAATATTTTGAGATAAAGTTTGAGTCATTTATTTTGGAATGGAAGGAGTACACGCGTACGCTAGCTAGGGGTTTTGGTGTAGGAACAATAATCAGAATAACGAACGCAGTAGTGATAAGCGTCGTTGGCTGTGAAGAAAGCCAAACTACCCACCCACCGGCCACCGCGCGACGTCGGCTCAGGCAGTTGCACCGATGGTCCGTCGTCGCCTCCCGTCGACGTCGCTCCCTGCAGCGTCGCCTCCTCCACGAACTCAGCGAGACAGCGACGGTCCCGGCCGGACTGGGCTGATATTATATTAGTCAGAGGCTCACATCAACTACCTTTTCGATACGTGAGCGTATGTAGATTGGCTTGTGATGTGATCTCTTTGACATGCATGCCATGGAGAAGTACGTACCAGAATAGAAATGATGGGATATCATCATCATCTCATCTTGGGGCTATGGATGCCAGGCAAGCTCCCAGCTACGCATCCATCCTAAAATACAAGGTATCTGGTCGTTCAAAATTTATTCTAAATTATTATAATTGGTTTCTAGATGAACTAATCCTTTAACTCAGTTCAAAAATTAAAGACAATATTCACATACATACATACAATCTCCCTTCATTCCATTTTATTTGGCTTAAATTAAAATGATACGGTTTTCCTAAATTATACTTTGACCATTCATTTATTTTATACTATATTATTTATGTTTATAAACTTATAATCATTGGGTAGTATAATTTCTTACAAATATAATCCTATAAAGTTTGTATTATAATAGTTAAAAATTATTAGTCTAATTATTGGTTAAAGTTTTTAAAGTTTGAATCTTGATATGCGTGTGAGCCAAATAAAATGGAACGGAGGTAGTACTTAATTTATATTACTAATCCAAATATTGGTAACCAGAAAAGGGTGCTCATCTAGTTTATCACATAATGTATTCTAGAACTTTTAGACTACCTAGTATTTCAGGAAAAAATGGAGTAGCTATGAATGGCGGTTTTTGGTTTTTTGTGCGACTGCGATAGCGATGGCAGGCTTGGGCCTTGGGCAGCTTCAGAACCGTTGGTTTCGGGCGGCGCGATGGCGACCTTCCCTTTCTGCTAGCTGCATGCATCGACTGGAGTGTTTGTCTATGCCCTCAACGGATTCGATAGCCATGGCAGACCGAGAGGAGCTTGACTACATGTTGTTACGCTCTTTCTAAGCTGTGTTTTAATATTTTCGTTTGTAAGGTCGTTCATCTTTGCATGTTGCCAAGTTCATATATTTGAGTAAAATTTTTTTGGACAGGTTGTACAGTATGAGCCCGTTTGGAGGGGCTTCTCCTGGCTCCGGCTCCGACACTTTACTGCTACAGTGATTTCACGGAGGAGCCGAAGCATGGGAGCTGTGCCAAACAGAGCCTATATTAGATGGGCTACACAGTAGCAGGCTGACCCAACACGACCACCTGGCCCACCTCAAAGCACGGCAGCTAGGACGGGAGCCATCAGCCATGACCAAACTCGGCTCACTGGGCTGCAGGCACAGAACATTCCCTTCCTTTCCCCTTTCTAACATCAGGGACAGAAACATTTTCATGCACAGTTATCCGATTCTTCCCACCAAAAACAAAGCTGTTCAGTTCTTACACAGAGTACAACTTCACAATTTCACATTTACATCCAGAAAACCAATCATCTTTATCCACAGTTCAAAAGAACAGTCAGGCACTGATGCACTGTTGCTGGCACAACGGTGCTATCTGCTATTCCTATACGAATTATGAATGCACGCCACTGTGACGACACCACGTCTTCTTCCTCTTCCAGGGTTTTCTGTGACAACAGGGTTTTTTTCCCTACATTTTTAACCAGCATAAAAACAATACATGAAACTATATCACAACATAACAGTGCCGTCTGCTCCGTTGTCATTGTCTGTTATTCTGTAAGCTATCCACACTTTCCCCTACAATTGCAGCCAAGATCAAATGATGTCCAATCTGACATTGCGATCGTTTGACTGTGGGTAATGTCACTAATTCAGGTCAGGTGTCACTCATAACTCTGTCATCTCGCTGTCTCACTGGAAAAGAACAAGAAGAAAAGCAGGTTCAATTGAAGGTTACAGGTGAACTAGTTGCAATTGTCAGACTCCTGATATGAATAGCACCAGAACAAGGCTGTAAATAACATGGGCTAGAATCTTTATATTAGGTTGTGTCAGATTAGGCTATGTGATTTATTGGGTTACCATCACAATAATATCAAATGATCAAGGTTCACCAATAAGTTTTTTAATTGAGTGGTAATCACCTCATCAGTGAGGAGAACACTGTCCAAAACAGCAAATCCTGCAGCAACGCCGCCCTCATTTGAAGAAGAAACTTTGGTGCGCATCAAGTAGCCAGACTGATTATTCAATATCACCTTGTCTTTGTTCCTGATATAGATCATCAAAACATGAGTGGCATTATCATTTCAGTATTTCACTAGGGGAGTAAAGGGTAACATGGCACATTTGTAGTCATAGGGGACAAATATTTGAAACTTCATTGATTTAATTACCGCAAGTAGGCTCCATATATTCCTAGCTCTGAGATTGTAAGGTCCTCAAACCAATCGCCACCCCTAACTAGAGGAGTAAGAGAGGCTTTTGGAAAAATCCTCTGCATCAGTATGTACGCTGCAAGTGACTCCCCCTGTTCCTTCTGGAGTTTGATCAGTGTGTCTCGCAAATCTTGACCATATATGTTGTTCCCTAAAGGAAATAATAAGGAATTCAGAATCCTGAGTACATCTACCAACAAACAGGATCTCTCAAAGTGCAAAGAAAAAATACCTCCGCCTTCTCGCTGAGGCTTTAAGACAAACAGGTCAGGTTTCTCTATTGCAGATTTCACAATCTCTTCATTATCCAAGCTCCATAACCCTGCAAAACTCTTGCGTAGTTTGGCAATGTCCTCCTTATTGTCAAGAAATCTGTAGATAGATCAGGGACAGGTTTAGGTTCTGCTGATGCTCTAATTCAGATCACGAACACTGAAATTCAGAGTCAGACAACACATTTGAAGTATAGGCTACAACACTAAAAGGTAAAATGGCAGTTGATCAATGATGTTGTAATTTGTTTTGTTGAAAATCTAGTGCAACTGTGAAACAGCGGAATATCAACCAGCTAATTACCCATTAGTACTGAGAAAACTCAATCACCTTTCAAGAACATTAGGTTTTGCTAGTTCTTGCTGGATCTTTTTTGTTCCTACTAAATGGTAGGATATCGAAGGGCACTTTACTGCAGAAGATTGTTCCATCAGAAGCCTCGCTCTCCACTCCTGGAATATGACAGTATTATGTCAAGGTGGAAAAGTGGTGTATTATCATAACAAAACAAATTACTACACATCCTCAACCAAGCAATAAAACCATTTGGGTAAGAATAGCTTTCCAACAGAGACTGAAATCCATGCGCAAAAGAAGTTCACTGCTTCATCAAGGAAAGTGAAACTAAGCAGCATTGCAACAGACATATATGATGTTTTCAAAACAATTACAGGAATTTATTTTTCACTCAAAATTCAGAATATAATTCTATAGAAAGGTTTTGAATTAATAAATATTAGATTGCATACCGCTTCCGAAGGGTAATCAGTCGGTGCATACCCGGCTCTGAAATACACAACAGCCACTGTCCGACCATCTCTGCAATTCATAAATTTACATACTAAATACTAATAGTAACAATAAGCCTTTCTCAATGTCTGTATACAAGATACTTACATTACAAGTGTTCCATCTGTAAGCACCTGCCCTTCAGCCTCTACTTGTGCCAACGTTTTCCTTATAGTTGCCACGCCATATGTGATGGCTAGTTAAGGAAAGCTCCATTTTTCATGCTGTCAGATTCTCTTAATACCAGACAAAAAATAAAAGCAAATGGTTACCGAAACCTTTAATGGTTCTCTGAAGTTATATCAGGCAGGCAATATGTTGAAAGAATAATACAGTAGTGTACAAACAAGAAATCAACATCTTATTAGTTTGTTGTGGACACGAGCCACCAAACCACAGACAAGGAAACACTGTGTCACGGATACAATTTAGAAAGTTTTTTTCAACCCAGATATTGAAAATCTGAGAATAGGAGTGAAACTGAAAAGAAAACAAACATAAAGAGGATATGATGCCTTCAGATGATTGACAAGCCAGTATTGGTCGTACATATTTCTTTCTTCAGGTTGAACAACCATCAAAACAACAGCACTGAGTGACAAAGAGAACAAAACATGTCAATTGACACTTACATTTTCTAGAAACTCTGAATAGTACATCTCATGCAGTCATGCTGCATAGAAAAGCATCGACCTGTCATTGTTATACTCAGCCCATGCTTTGCCCAGTGCTTCAGCAAATTGAGTGGCTGCCCAATTCTGTGGAATCCTTTTAGGATCTAGGCCTAATACTTTTCCATACTGGTTGAGTAAGGTCCTGCAGTATCAAAGTAGTATACCTATCAGTTTAACTATACATAATACCAAAACAAGGAAATCTAGTCATTACAACAAAATAGTAAATTATGAATGTGTCCTTGACTAATTTTGTTTTCACTCTCATGGGACAAGCGACATTAACTCATTAATTATCACATCTGACTATTTTTGAAGTAGCACACCATTACAGGTAACAGTTAGAGACTTTGAAACTCTAATACCAAAAAATCATGGTTCATGGTTGTAATGATAAGCTGAAGCTTCCAAAAAATCCAGTCTGGAATTCAAATGTAGGTAACGTTTATGTAAACACAATAGCTCTGTTAACCACTTGGGCTGACTAAGTAAAGGCATCCATCTCGGATTTTCTTATAAGCTCAAGGGAGAACTGAAATGGTCAGCAAGTTTTCCATCTACAACCGTACCACTATTTAAAAAAATCTACAATTGTATCTTTAAGATATCTAAACAATCATCATAGTGAGTACACCTGTTAAGGTCAAAAGACATTGCTAGGAAATAAAAACTTACAGAAGAAAACAAAATAGGATAATTCTGCCATGAGAGAGGAAGAATGGATAATAAATTGACCTGTGAAGTTCACTGACAAGGGAGCCAAGGCCAGGAAAGGATGATGAAATAGTGTTGAGCTCAATTTGAAGCAGTGAATTGGTTTCAGAATCCAGCATATAGTCCGATCGGTGCAATCCTAAGCGTATATCCTAAAAGTGTATCAAGCACATATCAGTGGCTGGCTAAAAAACAAGAGAAAGTTTGAAAGATGCATTTCCAAAAGGCCAAAACTGAGACACAGAAGCTAAGAAGAAATGCTTTACTTACCTCTTTCTTATTTATTGCCATCATCTTCTCATGAATTTCTAGCAGCTTTGCGGTAAATTCATCAACCTGCTTTGTTCTGAAATTAGAAAATTATAAGTCACTGTTAACCGAAACCATTATATAGCTGGGAAAATGAAAAATAGTCTGGCCTTCAGTGACCTGACTAACAGAGAGTCATATTCTCCTCAAAATTCAAGGCAACAACCTTGTTATGGATAGGAATCAGTTGACAATCTTGTCTACTCAATGTATACTCTGAACAAAAGATATACTTACGCCACATTGGTACCAAGAGAATCCAGTGTATAGAATTCAAAACTTGCCTAGACAAAGCAGCTTGCAAGAACTCCCCATCCAAGCTGACGCGATCCACGAGCTCATTGAAGATAGGAGCCAGCTCGCACGCTTGCTTCCAGAACGATGCCGGAAAACGCGCCGGAAGCAGTGAGAATGGAGCATGAACCAGGCCAACCCCAGGGACCGTTCCTGACCTCTGCAAGTCGCAATAAAAATGCTGATCAGCTAATTCAACGGGAATTCTAGCTTACAGGAAATGGGGACATGCTGTTTACTTGCTTTCATTGGTCATATCAAAATCCGCCAGAGAGTAGCAATTAGCAGAGTGGCGACGGTTAAGACATGTTGAAAAAATTGTTTATTTTTAACAGTGAGCTGCATTACTGCAACTTGGCAGGCTGGGTACTCTATTGTTCCATCCATCTACAAGCCGAGCCGCGAATGAACTAGAAGAGATTGTCCAAAGATGCAAACTTTTCCCCATGGCAAGATTGCAGCACATTTCACAACACATGGCAAGATTGCAGCAGCAGCACATTTCACAACACACTGACTAACACTAGCAGCCATTCGATCCAGGACCGTGAGGGGGTGACTGGTGAGGCTCACCTGGTTGGCGCGATCTCCGACGACAAGCCCGTTGACGGCGCACCATACGGCGGCCTCCTCCACCATCTCCGCCAGCAGGGCCTGCTGCGCCGGCGTCCGGGCACCCTCCGCCGCCGCCGCAGGCGCGACGCCCAGGGGCGCCTCGGCGCTCATCGTGGCGCGCGCGACCCGGCGGCGCCCGCGGAGCGCGGGCGGCGCAAACGAGGCCGCGGCTGGGGCGGGGAGGCGGAGGCGGACCTGATGGTGGTGCGAGACGCAGGGGGAGGAAGACATTGCGTGGGGGGAGGGAATCGATTCGAAGGCGGGCGGCCGGGCGCTCCCGCGATTTATTATTACGCCGTCGTGCTCCGGGCCACCGGCTTCGAGCCTCTCGGCGGCGGCGAAGGTTGGAGATGGAGATGGAGATGGATTCCTCCTCTTCCTAGTCCGATGTGGCGGGTCAGAGTTGCGAATCTCCGGCGGTCGGGTTCAGAGGCGTCCAGGTGCTTCCTCCCGAGTCGCTTGTTTCGTCGTCACGGCGTCAGGGAGGACGTTGCTGCTGATGACGTCCCTGCTCTTTCGTATATTCTCCATGTGTTTTTCTTTCACTATGAGAGTGTGAGATACTGAAATTGACGTTTTATATTATCACAAATTTCATACGCCCACAAGCTTCACCGTATGTTTATCCATGGGAATTGTGCAATTTTTATTTCAAATACAGTTGATACAAATGTTTAAACTACGTGATGAATTATTTGTTTCCGGTAAAGAAACTTATCTAAATACTTGATCACTTATTTTGTTTTATTTATGTCATTTTAGTTTTTCCTTAAAATATTTGTTTTCTAATCTGAACAAAATTATGCGGTAGATCTAATAAAACAAATTTAAAGTTTACAGATGTTTTAAAGTTAAAAAATTAACTTAAAACAAAAATAAATTACTCGCATTTTAGAATCTGCATTGTGGATGTGGAACGGCAGGCAATACGTCTACAAGTTAAGTACCTTCTCCGTTCTAAATTGTAATTCGCTCGTGGCTTCTTTAGGTGCATGACTTAGACATAGGTCTAGATACAATAGTATCTATGTAATCTAGAAGAGTTAAATCAAATTAAAATTTGGAATGAGGGGGGGGGGGTTTCGAAATGTCAACGGGAAATTCCTCGTCGGGGGTTACTGCCCCATCCCCGTCCCCGCGGGGGCAAATTTTCCCCGTCCCCGTGAAGGCTCATGGGGAGCACTTCTTCCCCATCCTTGTCCCCGCTCGGGGATTTAATCACCGTGGGGATCCCCATCCCCGCATCACCAATATACATGATAGCAAAATAGGCACTTAGCAAAGCAAAACAATAGATTTCAAATTCACCATCAGTGCATCACCAACTAGAAATCCAGCATAGTTTGCTTGGCACAACAGCACAAAAGTAGCACCATAAGTTTACAAGTTCATGGGCTCATCACAAATAGGCATTACAACACAAAATGACAAGTTCATAACAATCTTAGAAGCAAACACTAAGGAGTGATACAACAGCCCAGCGGCAGCCAACTCTTGTCTTCAAAGTTCAAACAAGTGTCGGTCCCTATACCCAACAACCAGCAAAATAAATACAATTAGTCAAGTATGAGTCAACAAAGAGACTAAAGTATTTATCAATTTCAGTTTTACACTTTACCTCAATCCCATCTTGGATCTCTTGAAGACAACTCCAAAAGCTAACAGTTTCAACATTGTCTTCACCTACAGAAAAGCATTAGAAGAATTAATTTAGAACCATGACACTTGTAGAATGTATGGAGTATATCACAAATGGAACAGCACAAGTACCTTGGTATTTGTTTCGTAGCCAGTTCTGTGAACACATGAAAGCCTCCAAGATATCTGAATTAAGCCTACTGCGGTACTCACTAAGAACACGTCCACTAGTGCTAAATGCAGATTCAGATGCAGCTATACTAACTGGGATGGCAAATATATCTTGTGCTACCTTCCTCAATATGGGATAACGTGTCCCAGCTACCTTCCACCAATCAAGAATCTTGAAGTTTTCTGTCTCAATTAGAACCAACTCATCTTCCAAGTACATTTCTAGCTCTGATTTGAATCTAAATGTTGTTGGCCTTCTACTAGCAACACGTGCACTGATTACAGACAATACACCCGAACTAGAAAGTGGAGGAGCTGAAGATTCTGTATTATCTTCATCCTCTTCCACTTCATACTCCTTCATCAAATCATACAGAGAGTTTCTAATCTCACTAACTCTCTCTGGACACTCTTCATGTGAGTGACCAGTGCGGGTTTCAATGAACCCAATGAGGAAGTCGGTCTTAAACCGAGGATCTAAAATGGTGGCCAATCCCATTGGTCCTTGAATCTCCTTCCAATACTTATTAAACTTCTCATTCATTTCAAACGACATTTTCTCTATAATAGGATTGCCACATACACTCCATTTCTGATTTGCTCTTTAGCCTCACAGATTTTAAGAAGATGAATATTGGCTGTCACATAATTTGTCCTAGAAAATATTGTTGTAATATCATTAAACAACTTGAGTCTACCAACTACCTCTCTACAAAAATCCCATTCTTCCTCACTAGGTGCACAGTCATACAACTTGTCAACAATTGATGCATGACTAAAAATAGCTTTGTAAGGCATTGCAATGCTAAGCATCTTGAAGGTAGAGTTCCACCTAGTCTTGCAAATCAAGGCCTAACTTGTGTTCCAAGTTTACTTTGACATGTTTAGCAATTTCTTCAAATTTCTCTATTCTTTTAGGTGTGGCTGTCCAATAGGCAACACTCTCACGAATTTTTACAATTGAATCCTTTATCACCTCTAAACCATCCCTCACAATCAAGTTTTGAATATGGGCAGCACAACGCATATGCAATAGTTTTCCATCCAACATTAGCTTTGATTTGTCTATCTTCTTGACAAGTTCAGGGATTACCTTGTCATTAGTGCTATAGTTATCAAGAGTCAAAGTCGAGATCTTTTCATCTAAGTTCCACTCCACCAATGCTTCATAGAGCACTTCACTAATAACTTTAGCTGTATAAATATGAACAAAAACATGCTGCAATAATAAATAAAATGCACAAAAACATGCTGCAATAATCTGAAGCTCAGAGCATAGAATATAAATATGAACATTGTAGCATACTATGTAAATCGTTACACACACATACATTCAATAATAATATGAAGTTTTAACTAAAGGATTCAGAACCATGGATTTTAGCTGCATTCATTTATAAATCATAACCATGAAATACAGTTTACACATGCGAAAATATTAATATAAACAAGCTAATAAGAGAAGAAGGTTAGCGAGATTAAAACCGACCCATGGATTTTAGTAGCCGGAGGCCACCGTCGATTGATGCTTTTGGAGTGGTCGGAGCAGGAGCTCCTTCAATTGCAAGACGGCTTGGCGTCTTGGTCGTGGACTTTTTCATTTGAGGCTTTGGAGGTCGTCCCTTTGCAGAAGCGACAATGGCTGCAACAGGCGCCAACACGACGGATCTAGTAGCCGGCATAGCATTTGGTGGCTGATCCAAATCCATGGCGTCCCTTCGCGAGGACCGCCGGACGTGGGTTAGTGAGTGAACGAGAACGACGCAGGCACGCAGCCATAGACCATACCCCGCCCATGCCCCATAGGCAAAATCTCAAGGGAGGACTAAGACACGCTTGTGCAAAGTGCAGGAGTGTAGGCTACATGGAGTCTTAGTTTCTCACCTTACTTCATCACCGTCCGAGCTTGGAGGCGGGGAGGGCGAAGCCATGGTGGCCGGCGGTGAAGGCTGTGCGGGTGCGTCTCTCGTGATGCTCCGCAGGCGGTGCGGCCCTGGTGGTGTGGATCCGACGGTGAGATGCTGGAGAGGTGCGAGCGCGACCGTGAGAAGCAGCTACAAGCTAGCCAGCCCCCATCTCCGGTGAGCGTCTGGTCCTCTTTCCCGTCTCTGGTGACTGCAAGTGGTCGACTGCTGGAGGTGGAGTGGCCGCGGCGCCGGGTCTACGTCTCTGCGAGTCGCAACTCACGACAGGGAGCGGCAGCGGCGGCTGGGGGAGGGGGGAGGGGATTGGGAACAAATGGAAAGGACAAGGTTAGGGCTACAAATTGCCTTATATATGTACGCAGGAATTGGGCCTTATCAGATGGGCCTTAAACATTTCGGGTACCCACGTGGAACGGGGACGGGGGCATGTATACCATCCCCGCCCCCGTCATACCCGATGGGGATGATTTTTTCCTCATTTAATTCCCCATGGGGAGAAGATTTGTACCATCCCCATCCCCTAATGGGTGAATTCCCCGCGGGGAATTGGGGAACGGGGCCCGTTGACATCTTTAGGGGGGTAGTAGCTAAGCTACATGAAACTCGAATATGGTTTAGTAAAGCCAGACCATTGAGACTCGAGAGGATACCAGTTAAACTATGTTAACAGTAGATAAGACATCATTACAATTAGAATAGAGTCCATTTCCAAAAAGGAAGAAAGAAAAGGGAAAAGGAAAGGAAGAAGACGAGAATAGATAAATACTGCCTCACCCATGGTTGCACCGCAAAAGTGCAAATTGTAGAAAACGACCGTTCTTCGATACCGAAACGCACAAAGCTATTTACCATTATTTTTTTAGAATTACACAGTACAACGTCAACGCTCACAACATGCACGTACACTTACCCCTATGAGCACACTTACGCTAACCCTACCCCTATGAGCACCTCCGAATGACTGAGCCGAAAGATCTCGAGATTCACGAAGTCACCACAGACGCTCGTTGTCGACGGGGACGTCGTTTAGCACTGAAAGCATAGCGCCGTTAAATCCTGAAATAAATCCAAAAAAATACGAGCACCCGTGCAAAGTTGAGAACTTACACCCAGGTAGACAAGTTCCACCAAAAGAACCCCAACCAACTTAATCTTTGATCAGTTCGCTATTCACCATTATTTATTGGATTGGAGTTGGAGAAATAATCTAGTACATGTCTGCCACGTTTTTCCGACCTCATAATTTGGTATTGGATGGATCCAATGACAAAGACTCGAGTTGTATGTAAATCCCAGCCACACCATAATAACCGGTGGACTGGCTGATTATTAGGCCGACGCCAGCTCTTAGCCATGACATGTGCCATGTCAGCGTGCCAAGTGTCCAGCCTCATTCCACAGGTTTTTTTTTTGTCTTTATTTAGAAACGCCACATGCCAAATGTGCGATCAGAATTCCTTCCTGTGACATGACCTGCAAAGATGGGCCGTAAATGGGCCCCAATTTATCACCAAGCCCAGGGCACACTTTGGGCCGTCGCATCGTATCTGCCACGTACGGGTCCGTACGACTCTTTCTCCGACTCTCTGTCCGTCCTCTATACCCAATAAAGCGGCCACGAGTCCACAACTCGATCGGTTCCGTTCCGCAGGGTTAGCGCCGCGATGGACTCCGACGACTCCACCGCCGCCCTCGCAGGCGGCGGCGGCGACAGGCTGAGTAAGCTCGGGGACGCCACGCTGGGCCACGTCCTGTCGTTCCTGCCCGCCGACGAGGCGGCGCGGGCCGCCGCGCTCTCGCGGCGGTGGCGCTACGTCTTCGCCCACGTGCACACCGTCTCCCTCGACGAGCCGGAGCCGCAGCCGGACTCCGACGACGACTCCGACTACGGCGGCTGCTACAGCCCCGGCTACGGCCCGTGCTGCAACGTCAAGCTCGTCCCGCCCTTCGTCAACCGCGTCAGCGCCGCGCTCCTCGGCCGCCTCCGCCTCGGCCAGGATGTTGAGCTCCCTAGCATGAGGGAGAGGATGAAGGAGATCAACTTCGTGCACTACCAGGGGGGCATGGCGCAGAGGATGCTCGCTAAGTTCTTGCTCTGCAACGCCCCGGCTGTCGATGAAGTGTGCGGCGAGTTTGCGAGCGGGCCTTTGTTCGTCCAGGACAAACTGATGGAAGAGATCAAGGGGTGGGTGATGAATAAATCTGCCAACTTGATGTTCTTCTAGGGATATTTTGTCCCATCCAAGCATCCACAAAAACTATGACAGATGGTTGGTTTTAATATTCCACAATATTGTTTCGTGTGTGTTTGCACACATGTTGTCTAAGAAAATTTTAACAAGTTTTTAGGCTATATAAAAGAGTTTTCAACAACTCAATTTGACTAGCAATAATACTGTGATTAGAACGTGGTGACGCCGTGAGTCCGCATGGAACCAAATGACCTCTCCCAACAAGGCACATGAAGAAACTATTTAATGCCTCCATAGCTCCCAACATGGTCATTCCCAAATCTCTTTTCTCCCTACTTTGTCTCTTGTTCTTCCGCCGCTTCCTTCTCGCCCCTAATGAAACCCATTGATCTTGCTTCCTCTACCACCGGTTTGCTCCCAAATCCATCGTGCGCAGCCACCACTGGCACCGCTCATGGAGATGGTTAGACGCTGTCGCGCGAACCACCACTGGTGTGGGCAGAACAAATGGTGAGGATGACATAGAGATTGCAATTTTGGGGAATTTTCCCAATGTTGCACTATTGTTTCCCAATGTTGCATTAGCTCACTTGTGGTGTTGTGACTGTTGTTTATAACGGCCTCTCCAGTGATGAGCTCGTCCATTGCGGGGTTGGACATAGGTTGTGACGACCTTCTTGCTCCTTGCTCAGGTGAGCTCGACGGTGATGGGCCAGGGCTTGAGCTCAAGGATGTATAGGGCCTTGCCCCTGAAATTTCATAAAGAAAAGTCATGAGGAAATAGCCTAGGGTGTTAAATGTGGGAATACAATTTGAATGGTGTTTAACTTCCATTGTGATATATTCTTGAAAAAATCGAGATATGTTAATGCTACTTTCTTATCCCTTTCTTAGTTCATAGTATGATTTGCAAGTTCTATAACTAGCCTATGGGCTTGCGCATGCAATATTAAAGTTCTCAATTGTCTCAACATTCATCACAATGAGTAGACCTGTTATGGTAAAAAAAGATTACCAAGATATAAAAACTCACCAAAGAAAACAAAGCAGGACAATTATGCCATGAGAGAGGAAGAATGGATAGTAAGTTGACCTGTGAAGTTCACTGACAAGGGAGCCAAGGCCACGAAAGGATGATGAAATAGTGTTGAGCCCAATTTATAGTAGTGAATTGGTTTCAGAATCCTGCATTTAGTCCGATCGGTGCAATCCTAAGCGTATATCCTAAAAGTGTATCAAGCACATATCAGTGGCTGGCTAAAAAAACAAAGTGTAATGCATAAGAGGCCTTTGGATTAACAAAAAAAAATCAGACTTTCCCACGGTTTCTGTTAAAAAAAGCAGACATTGCACTGCCTTCTCTTTGTGCACCCAAAATTGTGTAGGGATAAATTTTTGTGTTTCCCTTCCAAAACCACCATGTGATACCCGTCTAAGACCAACCATCTCCTATAGAATCATAATTAAGACACAATATGTTTTCAATAGATCTAATCTTCCTCTTAAAGACTAAGAAATAGAGCACTATCATTTGTATAGGACTTTCTTTTCTTGTAGGCCAGGCACCTTTGTTGTAAGTACATGCTCTAATTTTTGAAAAGTAAGTCTGGATGTATGCCACACATATGAGCATATCATTCGAGAACTAAACCAAGTAAAAGTGACAAGATACATCTAACTAGAAATCAATTAGATAGACATGCAGTTGTACAAAGGCAGAGTCTAGCCGTAGTTAGGCACAATCACCCATTGCTCCGTGGTAGGGCTGCACATGATATAGCTAGGTGGTGCGTATGAGATCTAGAAATTCTAATAATAAGAAGTATCCCATGGTAGGTAACCAAGACCACATTGCTCTAAGAGTATGAGTATCTTGGATACCTGCTAACTCAGACACACCACCGAGATATATCATGTACAACTGTGCCACTGAACGGTGACGGATGGCTATGCCTATGCCTATTTTAGACTGAACTTTACCTCTGCACCTACAAAAGGCCCATCTATTTCATTTCCAATCTAGCTATCTCTCCCCACTTCCACTTGGTCTAGTTCTATAATGTTGAGTTCATGGTCGTAACATCGGTACACATCTACTCGTGGAAAATTGCTAATGGACTTAGCGAAGGTGCCTTTATTAGTAGGTATGGCATGGATCTAATGTAGTTTGACTTAATTAACAATTTTTAATTTGACTAACTCAAACTAAAAACTTAGTTAATTAAGTTGAAACATGAATGAATCCTTGATTTGTGCCCATCTTTAATGGTACTGTAGGAGATAGGAAAGGCTCCTTGAATGGTTGTATGTTGCATAGCACATAAGAAGAATGATGCCATTGTCATTTCGTTGCTATAGCAAAGTTGTTGCCGTTATAGAAAAGGGACATGTTCTAGATGGGGTTAAGATAATTGTGGTGGATGTTGAATGGAATACATGAACATCATCCTTACTATGTTCTAGGTACACAGAGGGAAGTATAGTTTGCTATCCAATTTTATTTGTCAATAAAGCGTAAGTGGGATGGTGGTAGGTGTGGTTCGCTCAGTGTGCAGAGTGGATCTGAGCCGTTTGAACTCTGGGGCGTTACAGTAGGAGATAGGAAAGGCTCCTTGAATGGTTGTATGTTGCATAGCACATAAGAAGAATGATGCCATTGTCATTTCCTTGTTATATCAAAGCTGTTGCCATTATAGAATAGGGACATGTTCTAGATGGGGTTCACATAATTGTGGTGGATGTAGATTGGAAAACATGAAAAATCATCCTTACTATGTTCTAGGTGCATAGAGGGAAGTATAGTTTACTATCCAATTTTGTTTGTCAATAAATTCCATGGATGCCAGCATTATGTCAATAGTAATGATGGTGAACTTGAATGTTGGAAAGTAGATTTATTTATTTTTGAGTATGTTGGAGGTATTCCCTGTAAAAACCTAATCGAAAATATCTACACAACAGTAATAATTAGCTACTAATGAACAAACACACACATTCTTTCTTTCCTTGTTCATGTAACATGAACACGTATTAAACACAGAAAAATATTAATTCTCTATCATCTCACTTAGTGAACATCATTTCCCTACGAACATGTGGATGATAGAATCTAAATGATTGAACCATTTGTTCATAGTGCAAAAAGATGTTGTGGGTATACCAAAATAATTTTCAACTCAGGGTAACTCACCAATGCTATTTGGTGCTTACCACAAGAAATATCTCAACATTCATCATAGTGAGTAGACCTGTTATGGTAAAAAAGATTACCAGGATATAAAAACTTACCAAAGAAGACAATGCAGGATAATTATGTCATGAGAGAGGAAGAATGGATAGTAAATTGACCTGTGAAGTTCACTGACAAGGGAGCCAAGCCCAGGAAAGGATGATGAAATAGTGTTGAGCTCAATTTATAGTAGTGAATTGGTTTCAGAATCTTGCATATAGTCTGATCAGTACAATCCTAAGCGTATATCCTAAAAGTGTATCAAGCACCTATCAATGGCTGGCAAAAAAAAAACAGAGTGTAATGCATAAGAGACCTTTTGATTAACTAAAAAAATCAGACATTGCACTACCTTCTCTTTGTGCACCCAAACTTGTATAGGGATGAATTTTTGTGTTTCCCTTCCAAAACCACCACAATTATGTGATCCCCGTCTAAGACCAACCATGTCCTATAGAATCACAATTAAGACACAATATGTTTTTAATAGATCTAATCTTCCTCTTAAAGACTAAGAAATAGAGCACTATCATTTGTATAGGACTTTCTTTTCTTGTAGGCCAGACACCTTTGTTGTAAGTACGCGCTCTAATTTTTGACAAGTAAGTCTGGACGTATGCCACACATATGAGCATATCATTTGAGAACTAAACCAAGTAAAAGTGACAAGATACATCCAGACTAGAAATCAACTAGATAGTCATTCAATTGTATAGAGGCAGAGTCTTGCCAGAGTTAGGCAAAATCACCCATTATTTTGTGGTAGGGCTGCACATGATATAGCTAGGTGGTGCGTATGAGATCTAGAAATTCTAATAATAAGAAGTATCCCATTGTAGGTAACCAAGACCACATTGCTCCAAGAGCACGAGGATCTTGGATACCTGCTAACTCAGGCACAATCATGTACAACTGTGCCACTGAACGACGATGGATGGCTATGCCTATGCCTATGCCTATTTCAGACTGAACTTTACCTCTGCACCTACAAAAGGCCCATCTATTTCATTTCCAATCTAGCTATCTCTTCCCACTTCCACTTGGTCTAGTTCTATAATGTTGAGTTCATGGTCGTAACATCGGTACATATCTACTCATGGAAAAGTGCTAATGGACTTAGCGAAGGTGCCTTTATTAGTAGGTATGCCATGGATCTAATGTAGTTCGACTTAATTAACTATTTTTAATTTGGCTAACTCAAGCTAAAAACTTAGGTAATCAAGTTGAAACATGAATGAATCCTTGATCTATGCCCACCTTTAATGGTACTATAGGAGATAGGAAAGGCTTCTTGAATGGTTTTATGTTGCATAGCACATAAGAAGAATGATGCCATTGGCATTTCCTTGCTATATCAAAGTTGTTGCCATTATAGAATAGGGACATGTTCTAGATGGGGTTCACACAATTATGATGGATGTAGATTGGAAAACATGAAAAATCATCCTTACTATGTTCTAGGTGCACAGAGGGAAGTATAGTTTTACTATCCAATTTTGTTTGTCAATAAATTCCAGGGGTGCCAACGTTGTGTCAAATAGTAATGATGGTGAACTTGAATGTTGGAAAATAGATTTTATTACTTTTGAGTATGTTGGAGGTATTCCTTGTAAAAACCGAATTGAAAATATCTACACAACAATAATAATTAGCTTCTAATGAACAAACACACACATTCTTTCTTTCCTTGTTCATGTAACATGAACATGAATTAAACACAGAAAAAATATTAAATTCTCTATCATCTCACTTACTAAACATCATTTACCTATGAACAAGTGTATGATAGAATCTAAATGATTGA